ATTTGCAATTTGCAGTTTTTTCTTGTCCTTGATCACCAGCCACAACAGTGCCCAGATATGTTCTCACAGAATGTGCCACACATGTGGCAGAGGCTGGGGTGGCACTCAGTGGCAGAGCTCTTACCTTACCTGCAGAGGCCCTAACTTCCATGCCCAGTGCTCTGAGTTTCCATGGCGCTTGCACAGAGCTCTGACTCTTGCTTTTCACTCCCAACTCAGGATCAGCTGCAGCTGTGGATCCGAGGCAACGTGAGCGCCTGCGCGAGGTCCATCTTCATCTTCGACGAGATGGACAAGATGCACGCCGGCCTCATCGATGCCATCAAGCCCTTCCTGGACTACTATGACGTGGTGGACGAGGTCTCTTATCGCAAGGCCATCTTCATCTTCCTCAGGTGAGTCGGGCGGGCCGCTGCCGCCGAGCTCGGTCCCGCAGCTCCCGCGAGCCCAGGCCTCCCCACCTGTCTTGCAGCAATGCGGGGGCCGAGCGCATCACCGATGTGGCGCTGGATTTCTGGAGGAGCGGGCGGCACAGGGAGGATATCAAGCTCAAGGACATGGAGCAGGCCCTGTCCGTGTCCGTCTTCAACAACAAGAACAGTGAGTGGGGCCCCGGGGCTGCACCCCAGGCTTCCAAACTCCGGGCCGGCCGTGACACGGAAGTGTGAGTTCAGACGGAGGGAGATGGTTGGGTGCATGGATCCCGAAAGCCATCGTGTTGGCACACGCATCATCCCAACACTCGGGAGGCTGAGGCAGGAGGATCTCTTCAAGTTCCAGGCCAGCCTGGGCTGTATAGGCAGATCCCCGTCTATAGCACACAGACAGAAGCCGCTCGAGGCAGCAGAAAAGGCCGCGGCCATGGGATGCTGGGGGTCTGTGGGGATTTGCTGCGCCCTTGTGCAAGTGGAGTGTCACGGGGTAGGAGGACGTCCGCGCCGACTGGCAGGCCGGAAAACGCCCACCCCGCACGGCGGACAGCGCTAACTGCGTGGGCAGCGTGTGTCTGGTTCCGCTACCCAGATGCTCCTGGCAGGGGCCCTGAACTGCCGCCCCTCAGGGCTGAGCCGACAGACCTGCTGCAGAGCAGGGCGCGGCCTGGCGGAGGCTCCTTCCCCGGCCCGCGCACCCTGGCTTGTGGCGCGGCTGCCGTGGCGCAGTCACACTGGTCACACGAGGCCTCCGCGCTGTGGCCGCCCTGTCCTTGCCACCCAGAAGCCATCCGCCTTCACCGCTGGGCGGACAGAGGGACAGACGGACAGAGGGACGGCCGAGTGGGCCACGTGTGACCCGCGCCTTTCTGTTTCCCAGGCGGCTTCTGGCACAGCAGCCTCATCGACCGGAATCTCATCGATTACTTCGTGCCCTTCCTGCCCCTGGAGTACAGGCACCTCAAGATGTGCGTCCGCGTGGAGATGCAGGCCCGCGGCTACGAGATCGACGAGGATGTCGTGACCAGGGTGGCCGACGAGATGACATTCTTCCCCAAGGACGAGAGGGTGTTCTCCGACAAGGGCTGCAAAACAGTGTGCACCAAGTTGGACTATTACCTCGATGACTGACTGCTTCGGAGAAGCTGCGGCCGCCCAGCAGGTCCAGTGGGCCCCTCCTGCTGGACGTGACAGGAGTCCTGGGCGCTGCCTTCGTTCCCTGGAAGCCGCGGGCAGCAACTGCAGGGAGCAGGACCATGGCCGGAAGCTTCCAGAACCTTCCACGAGGAAGTGACCAGCTCCCAGCCCACCCCTTCCAGGGTCCACACATTTTTTAAATTATGTGTTAAGCTGGATGCGGTGGCACAGGCCTGCCATCCCTGCACTCGGGAGGCTGAGGCAGGAGGATTGCTATGAGTTCAAGACCAGCCTGGGCTACACAGCCAGAACTTGTCTCAAAAAAAAAAAATTATGTTTTAATTTCAAGTGTCTCTGTTTCAAAGAAGAAATAAGTTTTACTAGAAATGAGAATTTTATTTAAGATGATTTTTAACATTCTGAGGAACTCTTTGGATTCTAAGTTGGCTTTCTGTGTCTTAAATTCCTGTCTCAACGGCCCAAAATCCGGGTGCTGGTCCTCCTGTCTCAGCCTCCCAAGTGTTGGGATGACAGGTATGCCCCATCACACCCGGCTTAGAAGAGTCCCGAAATAAACAGCCACCCGTTGCAGTCCTGAGTAATCTGTTAGAATTCTTCAGCCCTAGGAGGAGCTTCAGTGCCCTTCTGAGCGGCCCAACAGCGGTCTTGGTCTGTCTTGTTCCGGCGTGTAGTCCTGGGGTGAGACCCACGGTCTTCCCTCTGAGCTCCAGCCCCAGCCCTTTTTATTTTTTTGAGACAGGGTCTTGCTAAATTTCCCAGGCTGGGCTTGAACTTTCGATCTTCCTGCCTCAGCCTCAAGTGCTGAGGTGACAGGTTTGTACCATTGCACGTGGCAATCTGTCTGAGCTCAAATTTTGTTGCCAAGTAAACTGGGGGAAAAGGGCAAGTGACACCTCAGAACGTGCTATTTAGACTTTATTATTCCACATTCACTGGGTTGATTCAAGCCCCTGGCATCTCCGAGGGGCGGGGCGGGGCAGTCCCACTTGTCCCAGTCCCAGCAGTGTCCAAAGGTGGCCAGCGCACATTGAGTTGGTTCATTATAAACAAGATTTTGGCTCAACCCCAGACACCATAGGTTATAAAAGAAAAGTAACACAGCTCCACTGAGACTAAACCCTAAAAACTGGCCTTTGTTTTTGAGACAGGGTCTAGCTAAGTAGCCCAGGCTGGACATGAACTCGCAGCGACGCTCCTGCCTCAGCCTCCCAGGCGCTGGGGTGACGGCAGTGCCCCCACACCAGGCTCACCGTGGCATTTTTAAAGGCAGGGTGACGCTGAGGCTTTCTGGACCCGGTCCCCCCTCCCACATTACCGCCCTGGCTGTGATCTCCAGTGGGAACTACACTGCAGCTGCGGCCCAGACCCACCCTCGCTTCCCGGTGGCTGGGCAGTGCGGCCAGGCCCAGCACGGCGTCGTGACCCTGTCTGACCTACAGCGTGATCCAGGCACTTCACAGAATTCTCAAGCTCGGTTCAGGAGGACCTGAGAGGGGAAGAAACAACTCCCATTTTGTTCCTTCCCTCGCTTTAAAATATGTGACCTCCTCTACTTACTTTTAGATTCAGAAGTAAAAACATTATAAAAATAGACAACCTTTTAAACTTGAGCCTTTGGGGTGGGCAGAGGCCAGCCTTGAACTCACTATGGAGCCCAGGCTGGCCTGGAACTCAGCGATCCTCCTGCCTCAGCCTCCCTGGTGCTGGTATGACAGACATGTGCCGCCACGCCCAGCTCCATCTTACAGATTTTCAGGTTCTGCAGGATGGAGCTGGATGAGTTTCAAGTGTAACAGGCAACGAGTCACGACAGGCCCCCTTCCGGCTCTGGGAGGATGCAGCCAGGGGATCGGGTATCCAGTGATGAGAAGACCCAGGCTGTGGGGAGGCTGGGCGGAGGGGGCAAGGACAAGGGGACTCCATGCCCAGGGCTGTCCCCGCAGCCAGAGCAGAGCTGGACCGAAGGTCCCGTCTGCCCTGCTCTTTGGCACCGAGGCTGTGCCAGCCTTGTCCTAGGTCCAGTGCCAGTGCCTCACCAACACCATGGGCACCCCAGGTGCCACCCAGCACCACAGGAAGCACTGGGTCGGGCAGGCTTTTTGTGCAAAGCAACAGCGGGGCAGGGCCATCCCAGCAGGTGGCGCAGGCGCGCTGCGGGTCCCTGGGACCCCTAAGCCCCAGGAGGTGGCACCGAGGCTGTGCGCACGGCCGTTCAAAGGCACCGGTGACGGCAGCAGCAGGAGTCGCGGGGACTTCACAGACCCACGCTCGGCCGCGGGTGAGCTGCCTGCTGTCGCACGGCAACTTCAGGCAGCCAGTCAATGTCCCAAGTCACTCAGGACCCCGAGGTCCCCACATCCCCAGCTGCAAACGTGCAGACCCCAGAGGGCATAAAAGCGCTTCGGAGAGGCGGGGCGGGCTCAGTAGAAGTCCAGCCGGGACTGCACCGTCTTGCAGCCCTTGTCCGAGTAGATCTTCTCGTCCTTGGGAAAGAACGTCATCTCCTGCGCCACCCTGGCCACCACGTCCTCATCCACCGCGGCCCCACGGGCCCGCAGCTCTGCACGCACGCACATCTGCACGTGCCTGTACTCCAGGGGCAGGAAGGGGACGAAGTAGTCGATGAGGTTCCTGTCTATCAGGCCGCTGTGCCACAGGCCGCCTGCCAAGGAGACGGCTGGTTCCAATCTGTCCCCGCCACCCGCACCTCCGACCCGCCCACAGGACGCTCTGCTGCCCACCCTGCGAAGGTCCTAGGAGCACCCGAGAACAGGGCCCTGACAGGGGCCGATATGCTGGGCACGCCTGTCATTCCAGCACTCGAGAGGCTGAGGCAGGAGGATCTCTGAGTTGGAGCCCAGCTGTGAGACACAGCGAGACCCTGTCTCAAAAAGTCAAAAAGACAAACGGTGCCCCGTGGGTGGAGCCCCAGGAAACTCACTGTGCTTGTTATTGAAGACGCCCACGGACAGCACGGCCTCCAGGTCCTTCAGCTGGACCTCCTCCCGCTTCCTCCCTGCCCGCCAGAAGTCCAGCGCTGTCCTGGTGATGATGTCCCCGCCCGCATTGCTGGTACAGTGGAGAAACAAAGATCTAGTGACACATCGAGACTCCGGTGTCCCTGCTCTGAGCTTTCATTACCTTCCTAGAAGGACTGAACCCAGGGCCTCTGCCTGGAGCTCCAGCCCCAGACTTTGTATTTTTCATTCGGAGACAGGATCTCACTACCTCACTAAACTGCCCAAACTGGGTGAGGACTTGTGATCCTCCTGCCTCAGCCTCTCAGACAGCTGGGATGCCAGGTGTGCACCAACACACCCAACTCCTAAGCTTTATTTCATTTAAAAATGTTTCTGGCCAGGCACAGCGGCACACACCTGTCATGCCAGCTCTGAGAGGCTGAGGCAGGCGGATCCCCACGAGTTTCAGGCCAGCCTGGACGACAGAGCCAGACCCTGTTTCATAAAGCCAAACCAAAACAAAGGGCAGGTGGTCATCGGGTCCTTCCTGTCCCGAGCTCTCCCCTCTGACCTGAGGAAGATGAAGATGGCCCTGCGGTAGGACACCCCGTCCACCTGCTCGTAGTAGTCGAGAAAGGGCTTAATGGCGTCGATGATCCCGGGGTGTAGCTTGTCCATCTCGTCAAATATGAACACTGAGCTGGCGCACCTGCTCACGTTCCCGTGGATCCACTTCTGCAGCTGGTCCTGGAGCCGGCAAGAAAGAGGGGCTCAGGGGAGGCGGAGCCAGGTGGGGGGGCTCACACGCAGGGCAGGTGGAGCCGGAAGACTGAGGCGCTCTCAGACGGGCACCCTCACCTCTGCCTGGACTGCCTGGGAAACAGCTGACAGATTGTACCAAAAGTGGAATCCCAGCACTCGGGAGGCTGAGGCAGGAAGGTCAAACCTAGACTACAGAGTGAGACCCTGTCTCGAGAAACAAGAGCAAAACAAACAACAAAAGGCGGAGGAGGTAGGAGACTGAAATCTCCAGTTACCCATGCCCGGGGCCGAAGAACAGGAAGCAGAGGCCGCCCAGTGCCCGAGACCAGGCCTGGACGGGCACCCAGCACAAAGCAGCGACCCAGGCAACGCTTCCGGCAAAGCGTGGGGATGGAACTCAGGCCCCCTGCATGCTCAGCCTGTGCTCCCCACCGAGCGGCACCCCAGCTGCAGTGTTAAAACAGTTCCCGAGCAACAAGCTCTCCACTCCAAGACAGAAAGCCCACAACCACCTTCTGCACTTCATCTTACAGTATTTAAAAAAATGTATTCTTTTTTTCAGAGGCCATCCTGCTGTAGAGTCCAGACTACCTACAAACACAGGATCCTCCTGCCTCAGCCTCCCAAGTGCTGGGATCACAGGCAGGTGCCACCTCGTCCAGCTCTGCTAGAAGAGCCTGATTGGGAAGAGCCTCATTGGGAAGCCAAGAAAACAATTTCTTCCTTTTGGTCTCTTCCTTGTCTTTCCAGTTTGGATGGTAAATGCTTTCACTTCCCTGTACAGTCAAAGTATCTGCTTCTCAGTTCCTCCTCCCCTAACGACAGGAACCTCAACCTTGACGAGGGCAATGGGAAGGTGGGAAGAGCCTCAGAAGAGGGGTCCTGAGGCTCAGCTCTTTGAGGCGTTAACGAAAGCAATGGCAAGGACGTGAAGGATCAGAGGAACAGAGGAGAAAGACCCATCTACCTTTCAAACGCAGAGGCAAAGCTTGGGATGCACTACGGGTTGCAATCCGCCCCCAACACCAAGGGCCCTGCCGGAAAAGCTGGGCACCATCTTCCATCACTGTGTAACATGCCTACCAGGAAAAAACTGAGTACTGAGAGTTTTGAGTTCAAGTTCTGCTTTGCCAGAGATTGTACTGGGCAATCTGAGCTTTTCCTTTTGATACAGGGTCTCACTGAAATTCAAGTTGAGCTTGAACTCATGGCCTCCTCCTGCCTCAGCCTCCTGTGTGCTGGGGTCACAGAAGGGCACCACCACACCTGATCCTGGCTCCATTTATAAATGGAACTAGCGTCCACTACTCTACTAGATTATCTGGCAACCATAAGGAGAAAAACTAGAAAGAGCTCTGGAACCAGCCTGGCCCTCCATGGGCCTTTTTGAAACAAAGACACCCAAGCAGCAAGCTGTCCACCCCAAAATGCGGAAGGCCGGGACCACGGAGCCCTGTCCCCTGCCAGGTGTGCCCGCATCTGTCATCGTCCAAGCCATTCCTGAGATCTGGGAATCACCGCCACGCCAGATGAGCGAGCGTCCTGCGGCACACGGGGGCCTCTTGCCTGGTACAGTTTTATCTTCTGCTCGTGGGGGAAGTGGAGGGTCGACACGTACAGGTGGACGAAGTGACTCTTCAGGCCTCGCGGGTGCAGGTGCTCCGCCACCATCTGGCTGACGAAGTTCTTGCCTGTGCCTGCCCAGCCGTGCAGGGACAGGGTGAGCGGTTTCTTGGGGTTTCTGTTGTTCTTAAAGCCGGTCAGCGCTTTGAGGATCACCTCTGTGGCCAGGTGCTGTCCAAACAGCTTCTCCTCCAAGTCCAGCTTGAGGGCTGCGGGGTGCGGGCCCCAGAGCAGAGAGAAAGACACCTTAGTAAGGCACCAAAAAGCTGACACGGAAGGCCGAGCCACAGTTAACTGCCAGGGACGCGCATTTAGGGGTGCACTGGCCCAGGCAGGCGGCTTCCTGCCACCCCTGCTGGCTCGTGGAAAGCAGGGCCAACGGTGGTCGCCCGGGGTGGACCCTGCACGTCTGAAAACTACTTTGGAGGGCTGCCCTGGAGCAGGCGGGGTGGCCACGCTACTTTCGGTTTCTTTTTGGTTTTCCGAGCCTGGGTCTCGTTAGGCAGCCCAGGCTGGCCTCGAACTCGCGGCGATCCTCCTGCCTCAGCCTTCTGACTGCTGGGATCACAGGC